AAAAAAAACCCAACCACTATAATTTACATCAAATTATAGTGCCGCGTCCGAACCGTCCTTTCAAAGGGTGGCTACGAAGCCGGGCCTACCGGGAGGCACGGAAACTCTTAGACGAAGAGTTCAAGAGGTATCTCGGGAGCTCACAAGAGCAGAATCGTCCGGTCGAAGGTCGCCTACCACCAGTACCATCCGGGTCACCACCGGCTCCGCCGACAAATCACCCCGATACCGCTTCCCCAATACCGCTTCCGCCTCAAACACCTTCACTACCTCAGGCACCTCCTTCTCCTTCCCCTCGAACTCCTTCACCTGCGTTTTCGGACGCATTGACAGAAAGAATCCTTCCCGATTTGCATCCACTTTCATCCGATTCGTTCCACCCAACTCCCCCCAGAAGTCCATCTCCGACGAACTCCACGGACAGCGTGGAATTCCTAGAGGAAATTCCTCCACCCCCACCTAGATCCCACTTCCGGATCCTGGAGAGTGACACTTTCGAGTCACTCATCTCTCAATTCCCGCGGGTAACCGCCGCATCTATCCCTCAGGGGGCCTACACTATCGGCCCTCACTACTTTGATCCCTATGAAATTCGAAATGCCATTACCGGTCGAAGCCCTACCTCAAATATCCCAGTATTTCTCCCAAATTCCACCCATCCAATATTAGTCCCTGTAAGATTTTTTAATAATCTTTTCCCCCCTTCTTCCGTTTCCATCCGTGAAGTATAGTTAACCCAAACCTATCCGATTCCCCCCCCTCTTTTTTTTTACACAATATATATATAGTTTAGATATTATAAAAGCGTAACCGTTTTTTAAATAGACAACTGTGTACTAATAACCATAATGTATAGAGTAGACGTAATAAATATTATTATATAAACGATTAGCATATAATTGCGTAATTTCCTAATGTCAATTAGCCATAATAAATAATGTTATTGATCATTTGTCTCGCTCTCATTCTCTATTTTTAAAACCCGCCTGATAGAACAACGACCTCGTAAACACCAAATCTTGCCCTTTCAAAGATTGCACGTGGTCCATTCCCGAGTTAAAGGGATTTTTTCTTGACTCGAAATTCGGACCGACGATCGCACCGCCCGTAGGAAACAGGCGTCATAGCGTCTTCACGAGACGTTGACCCATATTCCGAAGCGGACAAAAAAAAAGGGTGCGTTCGACTCGCCGGTGTTTGTTTCCAGGCAAATACCTGCGAGACTAGAGTCTGACCGTCCTTCCACGCTCCATCCTTTTCTACTCCCTTCTCTCTCTCTCTAAAAACCCACTTTTCCGGAGTTTGGACGTAACACTATTAAAAAGTTCCTAAATCTATGATCACTGCCTGATTTTAAACTCGAAATTTACGGGTACTTGAATATTACAAACATTCGGATCCCGAGTCAACCCCGAAAAAAATTCCCGACCCGAATCCGAGGCTCGTATATCCGTAATTTTGGCTTCTACTAATTTCCACTAATATTATTCGTCAATACCTAACTTCACTTATTGTAATTAAAAAACAATCCGATACTCCAAGAATTTAATATTCATTTTAATTTCATCATTCTAATTTATTATAAGGTGTAGTAAAAAGAAACCTATTATTTTTGCATTAAATTGAAGGCTTTATTTAGCATAGTTAGAATGATCCGATTTAGGTCAAATATGCACCGTTTTGTTCGATAACTTGTTGCCATTTTGAAGGTAATTTCATTATGCCTCTCTCATAGAAACCCTCGTCCCTATTGGCAAAAAACTGGGACAGTCGATTTTCACAAGCTTCTCTTGAGGCGAATTTTTCACCAGCAAAATCATTCGCCATAGACAGGAACAGGTGGTAATCACTTGGTGCCAGGTCCGGACTATAAGGTGGATGCATAAGAACCTCCCAACCAAGCTCCCGGAGCTTCTGGCGAGTCACTATCGATGTGTGTGGCCTGGCGTTGTCTTGATGGAACACAATTCCTCTCCTATTGGCCAAAGCTGGCCGCTTCTGGGCGATTGCTTCTTTCAGATGGTCCAATTGTTGACAGTACAGGTCCGAATTAAGAATTTGGCCGTAGGGGAGCAGCTCATAGTAGATGATTCCCTGCCAATCCCACCAAACACACAGCAAAACCTTCCTGATCGTCAATCCTGGCTTGGCCACCGTTTGCGCCGGCTCATCGCGATTCGACCACGACCGTTTTCGCTTGACGTTGTCGTAAGTGACCCACTTTTCATCACCAGTAACCATTCGCTTCAGAAATGGGTCGATTTTGTTGCGATTCAGCAGCGATTCGCAGATGGAAATTCGGTCCATGAGGTTTTTTTGCGTTAACTCGTGTGGCACCCATACATCGAGCTTCTTTTTTGTATCCAGCCTTATTTAAATGGTTCCAAACGATTTTTTGTGCAATATTTAGGCAATCCCTGAGCAATCGAAACAGTGCTTACATGACGGTCGGACTCGACGATTTCCATTATTTTATCGACATTTTTGACAATTGGCCTTCCAGAGGGTGATGCATCTTTGACATCAAAATTACCGGAAAGGAATCGACGAAACCAAAATTGCGCGATATTGACTGTTACAGTATCAGGACCAAACACTATTCACATTTTCAGCCGCCTGGCTTGCGTTTTCGCCTTTATCGAAGAAAAACTGTAAAATATGGCGTATTTTCTCTTTGTTGGTGTCTATCTTTGACACGTGCTCAAACAATACTGACTCAAGCAATCACAAAACTGTCTGAGAAGTTTTTTTAGTACAAAATCTTATCTTTCTATAATAATTGGCGTAACCCGATCGCACTTATGCAACGCGAGATACAGATTACTAAAGCCATCTATTGGAAAAA